CGGAAGCTGCTAATTTTACAAATAAAACTAACGCAGACATTAATAAAGAAGATTCAATACCCACAACAAAAGATGATAGCTGTTTGCCTATAGACATTGGGGTATTTTTAACACGTCAAGTAACTGAAAAAGATAAATACCGAATTTTGAAATGCAATCGGTTAACTGATCCAAATTAAAAATATCCATGTTCTGTGCATCTAAAGAAGGGTAAGAATGTTAATTGCTTTTTATCCGAAAAACATATACAGAAGTTTCCATAGATAATGATTTCAGAATGCCTTTATGGAATTTTTTCTAAGTATTGCTTTCTTTTTGCAAAAGTTGGGGGAATACACGGTCAAGTGCAGTTACTCAAGCTAGTTACTTTACGTCTTAAAAGTTATTCAAAGCTTTTGGGTAAGGATGAAGACCTAAAATTACATGGTTGCAATGCCAACGACAAATTTTCAGCATCAGATTTCATCAGAAGATACGAATGTCCATTTACAGATGTACGTAATTTAGTAAACGAAGAAAGACTTAAACAGGCTAAAGAAAAAAGAGAACGATTAAAGCCTATAATTGAATCTATAATATTTTTTGGTCGACTGAATATTGCTCTGCAAGGTCATCGCGATGATGGGTAGATCTTTGAAATAAATCAAAACTCTTCATTAATTAATGATGGCAATCTTCGGGAATTGCTTCGCTTTCGAGTGAGCTCTGGGGACAATATTTTAAAAAACCATTTTAATAACTGTAATTCTAAAGCAACATACATAAGTAAAAGTATTCAAAATGAGAATAGCATGTTGGGTTGAGTTTACAAAAGACAAAATAATATAGATATTATTTTGTCTTTTGTTAAACATTACAGACAGGGCCAGATTTATCTACAGGCAGACAATACTGCAGCCTGTGCACCATGATTTTAACGGGCTCAATTTTTAAATGTCTTGTGAAAATAAAATCCGCCCCTTATTACAAACTAAGTATTTATTTTCAATTTTTGATTTTTTCAAGATATTTATATACAGTTACATTCAATATATTTAGTAACAAACTTTTCCAAAAATATTCTAAATAATCAAATAAAAAAGTGGTTTATCTGAAGAAAAAAAGCAGAATTTTTTTTTTGGCTAGATTACCCCCTCTAGGACAATGATCTGGATTTGCCACTGGTGCAAATTAGTATTTTGCACTTATGCCTCACTTATAATCACTAGTTCTCTATGTTTTCATAGTCGGGTCTTATGTTTCTGCCGTACCGCAAAATGCTGGGCGCTGGCTTCACTAAGTTATACCAAGGATAAATAATAGATTGACGTTTAACGCATTGTTATAGATCTAAGGCGAGTAAACTAAAATCTCTGCGAGCTATAATTTTTAGAGTCATTTTTCTGAATAATTTAAAAAAATAAACCCAGGTTTTTCCAATAATTTCGCTTTTCTAACTACTTTAAAAAAAAAATGCAACTACCCATAAAACTCTTACTTTTTGTTAAAATTAATGTATTTTAGTTAATCAGAAATAGCTTATCTGTTTTAAAATGTCAAATTTGATACGTGAGCGCTTTTTAATAAGAACTTATTATTAATAAAACTTAAACGTTAAAAATCATATTTTTGTTAAAAGTCATATGTAATTTGCAAAAATGAATACTGTAAAGTGAAACGAATTTTCAACATGTTGTATGTAAAACTGTGAATCATTTGTAGATTAAACTATAGATTGCTTGTGGTCTTTATTCTCTACACTTAGTTTGAACTATTCTTTAAGAATTTAAATTTTTAATTTTTGTCGGAAATCTTAACTTTTTTTGTCTCACTTACAATTTTGATTTGATATTTTTCTGTGATTGACTGTTTTTTCCATGTAAAAATTTTGCTTTTATTGATTATATAATTTATTGATTATATAATGAAAAAATTTTATTTATTTTTTAGAGTTTTTAGATGTTATGGAATGTTTAGAGTTTTTAGGTGTTATGGAATGTTTGCAGTTTTTAGGTGTTATGGAATGTTTAGAGTTTTAGGTGTTATGGAATGTTTAAATTTTTCTTCGTCGTTAAAGTAGTTACAACATTTAATGAAAAAAATTTAAAACTACATCAATAATTATCTTCTGTTAACCTTTTAAAAGAAAACGGTACTTATATAAGAATGCCTAATAATCAGAGACGTATTTACGGGGGGCCACAGGTGGTTTTGGTCCCAGGCGCCAAGTTTTGATAGGGCGCCAGCCATCAGAATTTTAGAATCTTAAAAAGTCATTAATCAGTAATTTTATATTATTTTCTCGAAAACTTTTATATTATTATTATTATGTCCTAATCATTGATCGATTGATAGACCTATTATATATATTCATGTATTTTGAGGTGAAATTTCCAATTACTTGCTTTTCTGCCTACAAGTATACGTGCGCATATTTTTTTTAACCGAGAATATTACCATTGGAAATTCATCTTTATAAAAATGATAAATGTGTGTGTTTGGAAAAAGAAAGCATCATTCAAAAGGCGTTCAAAGTCCATATGCAAATTATACATAACTAAGCGTAAATTATTCGTGCGAAAACTTTGACTTGGTAAAAAAAAAAGTCACGTAGCTCAGTTTGACCTTTTTTTAAAGGATTCTATCTTTTATAAAGGATTGAACCTATCTTTTAATATATATGAGCAGTTAATAGGTATAATGGAAGACAGTTTTATACAACAAATGGTGAAAGAAGTGAAGAAAGCTAAATATTTTTCCATCAGTATTGATTCTACTTCTTATATTAGCCGTGTAGATTAACTGTGTTCATTTTTCGGTATGTTCAAAAAAATGGCTGTCCAGCAGAAAGATTTTTAGGGCTTTTACCCAACTCTAGTCATAAATCTGAAGAATAAGCAGATGCTATAATTTTAGTTTTAGAATTGCATGGATTTGATATAAACAATAGTCGTGGTTACGATGGAAATAATAGTCGTGGTTACGATTACAATGGGTCTAGGATGTCTCGTAGGTATACAGTACTTTAAACTTGCATTATTGAAGTTAATTCTTTAGCTACATTTGTACCATGCTTGGTACACTCTTTAAATCTTGATAGTGAATGCGCTGTGGACTGTTGTAGAAATGCTTCAGAATTTTTCATTTTGCTTCAAAATATCTATATCTTTTTCAGTGCTTTTACATATAGATGAGAAATACTTCAAAACATTTTCATAAAAACAGAAAATGTATCATTTAAAAACTATAAAATACCAGGTGGTCAGCCAGATCTGATGCAAAACTTAGTTTAAACAAAAGTTAAAATGAAATAATTAATGCACTGTCTTTTATCAAAGATAATCACAAAAGTCAAACGCAAGATCAGAAGCTAATGGAATCTTGAACTGATTATAATGACCACATTAAGAAGTGATATCCTAAAATGAATCAACAAAAATAATAAACCATTGCAGTCAGTATAACAATTGCAGTTCGATTGATTTTGAAACAGTTGTAAGTTTATGCAAATCGTTAATTCGATATATATTAGATTTAAGTAGTATGTTTGATATCTATAAAGAGATATGAGTAGTATGTTTGATATCTATGGAGAGATTTGAGTAGTATGTTTGATATCTATGGAGAGATTTGAGTAATACGTTTGATATCTATGGAGAGAGCAATTAACAAATCGGGACACAAAGCACATCAAAAAATACGTAAAAGAAAGAGGAAATTAAATGCAGATAAAAAAAGAGAAGGAGAAATGAAAGTTGAAATTCAAAACTCTTTAAGGATTATTAACTATTTAAGGATTATTATAACTATTATTGATAAACTACATCCAAAACTAGAAAGAAAAAAATTGTGCTGTGATGAAGCCAATAAAAAACTTAACTTTTTCTTTCAAGTAATGAAACAAAAAGCCATCAGAAATTTACTAAAAATGCAGAAACTCTTCCAACTATAAATAAAAAATAATCTTTCGACTTCGTTTGCTAAAGAGTGTATTCATCTCAGTTATTTAATGATTTTAACTGAAAACATAAGACCTACAACTGTAATAGATATTTGTAAAATGATCATAAATCATAAACTTCAAGAACTATATAACTATCTTTAATGGTATTTCTACTATAAGTTGGTATATCTTTATAAATATATCTATGCTGTCAAACGTCCAATTGTTCAAAGGAGAGACCATTTTTAGCCCTAAAGTGGGTTTAGTTTTATTTGAGGTCGGTAATGACTGATGTTAATGTCTTAATAGGTTAGCAACTCTATCTATGATTCTGCACTTATCATAGATACGAACTTTAATGACATAATAAATACGTTTGGAAAAAAAAAAACTCACGTAGAAAATTATAAACATTTTTTTAAATTTAAGTGAGTTTAACTAAGTATGTAGGATTGTATTGAAAATGTTATTGCTCTTTTAATAGCCATCCCATATCAAAGTATTTAGTTATTTGTAAAATAGGGTGCTTTAACAATTAGTGCCCCAGGGTGCCAAAAATATAAATACGTGTCTGCAAATAATAGTCTTCGTTAATTTCAAACTCATCGGACAATTATGATTATATCGTGAATATCTTTTTTAAATATAGTTAGGCAAGACTATCATTATTTTGACGTCAAGTAAAAATAATCTTTAGTTAAAAATAGTTAACAGCTGTTCTCTATTGTTTTGCTATTGCTATTTGTAACAATAAAAGCGCGGATGTCTTCGCTTTTAAACCATCTGTTAAACGTCCTCGGTTATACCATAAACGTATAAAAGATTTTATATATTCTTTTTTATATATTTTATATATATATACTCTCTTATACGTCCATGGTTATACGCAAATCACGTAGCTATTACGTCATTTGTTTAACCTTTGTCAAACCAATGTCGTCATTGATTTATTAATGACCTTTGTCAAATCAATGACGTCATTGTTTGACCAATAAAAGGTTAGTTTTCGTGAGTCCTTTGAATGATAAAAAAAGTTAAGGAAGAGTTCATGTTAAGTGAAAGAAAAGTTTATAAAAAGAACATTTTCATTGAACTTTATTATGCTACGCTAAACAGATTTATACACTTTTATGTAATTATTGTCTGTAAAAATTGTGATTAAATCTGTAACGTTTATCGACATCTAATATTTTTTTACTGATTTTTTTTCCAACCATAAAAGCCACTGTTTTTTAACTTCCTTGTTACGCACAGTATAGAACAAAAATATAAAAAATCCTTGTAACGAGTTTAAAATACAGAAAATCCATTGAAATGTGTTTCGGAGGTTACCAACAGCTAAAACTGCAAAAACCCATGTTGTGCCGAGCAAAACAGAACACGACAAAGCAATTCGGACTTTATTAACTCTGTTTTTTGATTTTTTTCCTACTAATTTTAGATCATAATTTGATCCAATTCCTTTAAGAACAAGAAGGAGTATAAAAGTATTGCATACAATTACAACTCCGATAGGTAAAAGTACTCCAAAGTAAAACGGAGTACCCCTCACAACACATCTAAAAGAAAACATTAACACATTTAGCAATCAGAAGGTAATTATATACGCAAAAAGCAATAATAATATATAAGCAACAAAGTACACCTTTACTCGTTTACGCATTTTAGTTGATAAAATGGGTAGAGGAGGATGGTTAGTAAGTGAGCCACGGGTAGGAGTGAATCAATGATTCCATAGCTAAAACGGGCCAAGAAAAAACAACCATTTTTCGTCCTCTCCAAAAATTTTCCAAGTAATCATTGGAAAATTGTTGTTTAAATTAAAAAAATTGAATTAATAATGTTGTATGTCTAATTTTTACCGTATTATAGCGCAGGTATTTGCGTTACCGTTGTATTCCATTTTTTCGGTACAAAAGTAAAATTTTTGGTTCTTTTTAAAAGCTCTTCAAAAAACACTTTTGCAAATTCAAAACATCAAAAAGTTAAGGAAAAATATTTAATAAACAATTAAGTATGTATAAAAAGTTATTTTTTATTCATAAACCACGTACTTATTGTATATTCAACACTTTAATTCAATTGCACATCTTGGGGAGGAACGAGCCAGCCTTTCAAGGGTAGGATTGAACTGCGACTCACTTGTACTTTGTGTAAGTTTTAGGTAAAAAAAGTGTTGTCTTTTGCATAAAAACGTTATCAAGCTTGACTCTAAGTATTTCAAGTGTTAATAAATTATTATTCCACAAAAGTAGTGCAAGGACTCAATGGCAGGAATCGAGTAGATGAACAATTTTAGAAAACAACACCCAGAATTGTTGCTTAAAACACCTGAAGGGTGTTCTCTTTCTAGGGTAACATCATTTAATGACCATTATGTTGCTATTTTTTTGCATAAATTAAAAGAAGTTCTTGCAAGATCACTAACATTTAAAAATGGAAGACGAATTTTTAACCTTGATGTTACTGTACAGAACCCTCAAAAAGTATGGCAATTTTCAATAAATTGTGATTTTTTGTTAGTTTGATTTTTTTTTTAATAGATGGAATTGATTTTAATTTTTTTGCAAAGAAAGGAACTAAAAGTGTGTACAAAGTATTAAGTGCTGAAAGAGGAACCTTGTAACAACTTGTGTAATAATCAGTGCTTCTAAACTATCTTCTACCTGTACTTATTTTTAAACGAGTGCATTTCAAGGAGCACATGTTTTCAGGAGCTTCTTCTTGATCTCTCGGACTCACAAATAAAACAGGCTGGATAAACAATAAAATCTTTTGGATGTTATGAATCACTTTATAAAATTTTCATTGAGCAATTAAGAAAATCTATCGTTACTAACTTATAACAACTGTAAAGATTACTTATCTATAGCAGTATTAAATAAAGTAAAGAAGCATTGAACATTGACATTACCTCCTCATTCCACACACAAGTTGTAACCTCATGATGTGGGTGTTTTTTGATCATTTAAAATAACATATCGTGCAGCAATTAATTCATGGATGCTCCACAATCAATGGAAAAACTTTTACAGTTTACCAAGTAGCTGCATGTGTTGGTCTTGCTTTTCAAAAAACCATAACATCTTCCAACATTACAGCTGCATTTAAAAAAACAGGTATATTTTCTTACGACAGAAACGTGTTTACGAATATTGATTTTATGAAAAGTTCTGTGACAAACAGACCTTTGATGTTAAAAATAGTTGTATAAAAATAACGTAAACATCTGAGAATTTAGCTTACCCATATCTTTCAACTAATAGAAACTGTCTAATATTAAAGATTTGAACATACTGCAATCTCCACTTATATTTATATTTATTTATTTATTTTTTAGTTTTGTCGTAGAAAGTTACAATTGATAAAATAATATAAATAATAAGATAAATGGCTGGAGCAAGAAGAAGATATCAGTTTGTCTTATCACCGAGCCCCATTGTGACTTCATTACAGGTCGTTTTTTACTACAAAATATATAAAATTGTGATAAATGCTTGTGATAAAATATATATAAAATGTGTAAAACTACGTTTCACAATTGATATAACTGTTAATATATAAACTCGTTTTGTAAAATAAATTTAGAACAAATAAAAGTTAAAGCAAATAAAAGAAATAAATTGTGCTAGTTTATATTTTTTTACTAAAAAAGAAAAAATAAATTTAAGTCCGTAGATAATAAAAAACGCTTTGATTCAGATTTAAACTGTTCAAGTATTTTTTTTCTGATTCTGTTTTTTTTTGATAGTAACAATCTGGGGAAAAAATTACCACAAAGAAGGTCCGCGGTGTTGGATTGAAAATATATTTAACTTTAATGTAAATTTTGGGATGGTGAAGTTATCATATGAGAAAATAAAATAGGGTTGAAATATCGGCGGAATCCATTTTGTACATATATTGTAAAACAAGATTTTTTTTTTTTTTTTTTTTAGTATATATATATTACGTCAATAAACAATCATTTTACAATATTTTTTGTAAAAATTAAAAATTAAATCTTTATATTCTGACAGGAGCAAGTAGAAGACAATGCATCTTATCACCCTGCTCCTAAGTTCGTGAAAATATCAAATAAGATTTATATATTAAGTTCCTAAAATATACGTTATATAAGTTTTATATATATTACAGGTTTTGTACATACTATAGCATATTACAGCTCATAAAATATATAAGTTAAAAGCTGCATATATACGTGTTAACAAATCTATATATAAATGTTTTTAAAAATACAAAAGAATGTTTTTATTATTTAAATCTATTAAGTATCGTTTAATTGCTCTTTTAAATAGCCCAATTGAACTCATGTTTTTCATGTCTCTATTAAGGAAATAGTTCCACAAACGTGGTCCTCGACATGTAATTGAGAAGTCTGTTTTTCTAAGTGATGTTGTAGGAATGAGAAAGTTGCCATTGGAATGTCTTGTAGAGCATTTATGTTAATTTTGTAAATATTCAACGCTCCAAGTTTGCATATAAGCGGTTCAGAAGACGCCTTTTTACTTACTCCAAAGACAATTCTACAGGCATGTTTTTGTTTACTGTCAAGTTTTTTAAGCTTAGTATAATTTGTGCTTGCCCAGGCCATGTTACCATAGCTTAGGTGACTATGTATTAATGAAAAGTATAAACGTTTTAAGGAAATGATATTTAGGAAATGTTTTGCTTTATACATTTATCAAATTTTTCTTGAGAGCTTTCTCTCTGAAGTGTTTATATGGAGCTTCCAATACAAATTTTAATCCAAGACCAATTTTCATCCATGATCGGTTGAGTGTTTTTTTTTTAAATCCAGACCGTATAAAAACCGTTTACCGTACAAAATATTGTTTTCCGTCAAATACTTGTAAAGTCTATTATACATGACGCGTTCTAGTAATTTGGAAAAACATGGTAAAACTGATATAGGTAGGTAAAAACATGGTAAAACTGATATATTATTAGTATCAAAATCATTTCCAGATTTAAAACTAGGGGTGACTTGGGCAATTTTTAGTTTATCTGGGACAATGCCAAATTTCAGTGAAAGATCAAAGATGTGATGCAATGATGATTAAATGATATCAAATACTGATTTTACGACAAAGTTACTGATATTATCAAAGCCCGCACTTTTGTTGTTTTTTAGAATGCTTAAAGCGGATTGTAACTCATTAGAATCTAGATGTGTTTCTTTCATAATCTTTTCTGAGGTAAGGTTCTTAATCAAGTAAGAATGAAATGCTGCGGAACTCGACAAAATTTCTGCTACTAATTTGATTCCCATATTAGGAAAAAAGCTATTTAAACATTCTGCTATTATTATCTTATCAATGACTAACTTACCATCAATCAAAAGCTTTTTCAGCAGATCTCTTTTTGTACAAATGTTATTACTAATTATCTCTTTAATCGTATTCCTTGTTTTCTTAGCATTTCTATGGGTATTTTTTTAAAAAGTTTGAATAATAAAGTGTTTTTGAGTTTTGTTTTGTTTTTCAAACAAGTTTTTATAGTTTTTGAAAGTTACTTCATTTTTATAATTTTTATTTTTTAGGAATTTTTCGAAGAGCTTTTGTTTTTTTCTTGAGGATTTGATTAAACTTTTAGACATCCAAGGAGTTAAAAGTGAATTTTTGTTTTTAATAACAGTTTTAACTGAAAATACTTTTTCATAATATTTACAAAATTGACCTAGGAAAAGTTCGTAGGCGTTGTTCGCATCGCTTGATTGCAATATAAGATCCCAATCAACACTTTTTTTTAATCAATTTTTGAATTTTTGTAAGGAGTTTTTATTGATCTCTCGTTTGTATATAGGAGGTTTGAGAAAGGTATTGTTTGGAGCTATGTTTTTAGTATTTAAGAACTTCTTTTTGATTCAAATAAACCAGTCGATACTAATTTTGTCACGCTTGATACTTCATCAGCTTCTTTTGTCAGCCCTAAACAATTTAGAGGCTTTCTTGAAAGCTGAAAAAAAAGAACTGTAAAAGAAAGGGAAGAAAGAAGGGTAAATCTATGATTGCCACAGGCACTTCTAAGAGAGATTGGATAGAGAAAAGTTTTTGCAATAAAAATTTAATCAAAATCACTAAAGAAATACAACCTTTAGGGAATAGTAATAAAAAACCATCTGAAAAAAATAACTTAGTATTGGAGCATTTGGAAAGGTCAGAAAGAAAGGTTTATTAATCCTAGAAGATGACTTTTGTGATTGTGATATTAACACTAAAAAAGAGAACTTTGTATTAGTTAAATTTGGAACAGCAAAAAAGACTACGTATTGTATTAGAAAGGTATTATATTCAAAATGTTTTATAGAAGAAGTTACGATCAGTTTTCTTTGCAAAAAAAGGTGGTATTTTTACGATTAGCCTGACTTTTTGGCTGTCCCTCGAATGGATGTTAAATTAATACTACCTCAACCAATATTTTCCGGAACAAGTAAAAGGCAGGAATACCATTACAAGTTTGAGGTTGTGCTTGATTATATTAATATTCGTTAACCATTAATGTGTTGCTAATATAAGCTTTTTTAGTGCTATTATGTTGCAAATGAAACTTTTGATTTTCCTAATATTTGTCATTTATTTTTTGATATTGTAGTTTTGTTGCTGTTGTTGTTGTTAAGACATTAGTAATACAGAATGTGAACAATTTATTATTCTTGTAGTTTATAAATTGAATTTCATTAGATGAGTTTAAAATAATGTTAAAATTTTTTGTTACATTATTACTTAGTTGCTATGCTCATTAGTCATTATTAGTTGCTATGCTTATTAGTCAATACTAATAAGCATAGCAACTAATAAGCATAATCCTAATAATAACTTATAATCCTTACCTAACTTTTGCTTAATCAGTTTAATACTTAACTTTAGTTTTCAAATAAATAAAGCTTATGACTCACTCCTAGCCGTTCCATGATTCACTCCTACCCGTGATGGGTAAGAGTAAATCAGCAGGAACACCTGCATTATTATTTATCTATAAAAATCTGAAGATATTTTGATACTATTTTTTATTTCTCTTAGAAACTCAATACACCAAGGTACTTTAGGCTCCTTATCCTATTTTTTTGTCACTTTTGGTTTCTCTGTTAAAACGGTTTTAAAAATAGGTGGCTCACTCTCACCCATCCTCCCCTATTTATTTTGTTTGCATATGCTTTTTGAAAATAGAAAATATATATTACTTACATTTTAAGGTCTCGATCAGTTGATGGGCCAAGGTATTCATGATTAATAGCAGCTGTTGCTATTGTCAAGATGAGTGGTACACCTATAGAAGAAAATCTAGTGTTGTGTATATATACCATCTATCTCTCTTGTAATAATCTTAAAAACTTTTAAAATTAAAAGTAAAAATCACTTAAATTTGTTATATTAAAAGACCAAAATATTATATTTGTTAAATTGATTGCTTAGCACGCATTATTCATTATTTATTAAATAATATAGAATGATAATTATAAGGTTTTATCTCTCAATTTTCATGGTAAGAAAAATTAATTTTCTGTTTTTACTTATTTTATTATTTATATGTTCAAAATTATATAATTTTTTTATATTAATTTTATTGTTATTAGTTATATAAGATTTTAAAAAGAATGTTTTGTTTTGTCATTGTTGATTCAAACCTTATTTAATAAAGTACGTATTAATAATTTAATTGTGAACAAATAATTTTAAAATTATAAAAATAATAATATAAAATTAATTAAAACCTAGTGGGCACGCGTCGTCCAGAGAACGTCCGTTAGACATCTCATGGACGTCCAGACGAACGTCCTCCGGACGACGGGAAAACATAACTAACATAAAAAAGAAAAAAAAATTAATCAATATAAACAATAACAGCTGGTAAATAACTAAATCTTTATAAATCAAGTTAAAAATCGTTTAAAAATGGAAATAGAACCCTATTATGCTAACGTAACAATATGATATTGTTGCAAAGTAAGGTGCTTAAAATAAATTAAAAAAAAATAATAATAAAAAACTGTTATTAAAATAAACTTAATGCGCAGCTTTGAAACAACGGTAATGCAAACAAATATAAATGCTTAAACTAAATTGAAACTTAACAACTAAGGTTGCTCATTAAAAAATAACAATAAACTTGTATTTTAATTCAAAGTTTTTTTATTAAATATATAAAAAATAACAATATAAACATAAAATAAACTCAAGACGTTCATAAAATAAACTCAAGAAAAACAGTTTCTTTTATATTCTATACACATCTGATTATGGTTTTGATAAAAAATACTTGTTACAGGTTCTTAAGTCACAAAGCGTTTGACCTTTTGTATACTAGGTGTAGACGATCCTGCAAATCAACAAAGTTAGTCTACAATAAAGTTTTAAAAAGAAGGCATTTTATTTAATTTCAAGATTTAATTCTGTTCCGACATTAAATGGTTCTTTAAAAAACTCTTTGTCAAGCTAAAAAAGAATTTTAAATGCAGAAAATTTGATTAGCGTTGTTGAAATCTAGATATGTTCTGCACAGCATCATAACTTGGCTTGACTGAGGTTAAGAGATATTTAAATTATCAATAATAATGAAGCGTAATGAATTCGCTACGCTTCATTATTATATGATATTTAAAATATCTCTAATTAATTAAATAGTAACATCTATCTTAAAACATAACCTTTTAGACATGGCATAAGAAGCTGAGTTGTCAAACTGAAAAATATACCAACCACTACATAAGCACTGCTCAAGCCACTACTGCTCTTCCTCCAACAAAATATATATATATTTTTGTTTTAAAGCAAACTTTTCTCTAAATATAGTAAAGCTTTTAGAAAATATTATCTTCGAGCTGATTACAATACTTTGATCAGTTTTATGCATGCATAAGCTTACGGATAACAGTTTTAGTAAAGTTTTGTAATGCTGATGTAATGTCTATCACACTTTTTACGCAGCTTACGTTTCATATTTGCCCAAAATATTTCAATTGGACGAAGTTGTGACACATTCGCTGGATTTATGTTATTTAAGTCAAAATCAACGCCATTTTGTAAATGCAATTCAATTATACTTTTTAAGTAATAGCAACATTCAAGATCAGGCCAGAGGTTAGTTGGATTACCATGCTTTCGGATCATAGGCAAAAGTCGCTTTTTTAAACATTCTTGCTCGTGAACATTGCAGGTTATGTTTCCAGTGAAATGTTTGAGTTTTGAAACCACAAGAACAGATGGCTTGCCATACCAAACCTTTCTTTGAACATTTTTGGTTATGATTTTTTTTAGGAAAACGCCAGGGTTTGTTTCTTTCGGAATTGTATGAAATTGCTGGCGTGCGAACGCCAAACAGTCAAGTGTGCAGTAGGTTTTATTATCTAATATAATGTACTTTTGATTTCCTTGAAAAAATTTTCATAACTTTATACTACGTTTTTGGCCATTACTTAATTGCTGTTAGGTACTTCCAGGGAATTTCTACTTTTTGTATGCTTTGTAGCCATATCTCATTTTAACTTTTTGAATTGAAGACTTGGAAACACCCTTTTCCTGTGTGACTTTGGAAACAGTTTATGAAGCTTGACATGATAAAGTTCTTTGTAGTGCTGATGATGTTTGAGGAGATAATGTATATTTCTCAAAATTTGTTTTTTTTATATCCTGAATGGAGAACTCTGGATTTGCATTAGGGTAGATTACGGTAATATGAGCACTTTGGTATTATAAGCATACTTAAAGATTTCTTAGATGTAAGCAGTGAAGTTAAGGTTACTTTGTATTTTTTGAATCAATTTTATGAGATGATAACAGGAATCAATACAATTAGCGTAAATTTATATGCAGTGCTAAGCGGCTATCGTCTAATTAAAACGCTGTTAAATTTTTTGCGTTGTTAAAATAATATTATCACGCATGAATAAATCTGTGGCGCAAAATTTTTGTCCTAAAATAATAAGATTAATTTTTTCATTAATAAAAGTATGTTAGTTAAAAATCCAATTCATTTTTGTTTGAAAACAATGCATAGAAATATTTAGTTTAGACTTTATTTAAAGATGCCATTTTTGCGTGATATGAGCATGCTCAAATTACCCAGTTTCTCATTGAAATTACCTAGTTTAAAGTCCTAAAATAGCAGTGGTTTTAGATGCTTTTTGAATAAAAACAAAACATAGTAAAAAATTTAAATAATTTAACAACACTGAATAATTTTCTGTAACTTAAATTCAAAAACTAGAATTTTTATCGTTCAAAGGTTTGATTTAATAAAAAAGAACGAGCTGATGTTAATTTCTTTTTTTTACGGAAAACATAGTAGTATTGTTTTAATAAAAAGTGACTTAAAATTTGATCTTTTAATGATAAGTTTTGTTAATAATAAATCATTATATTCCAAAAATTTGTTCAAATTGTCAGGTTGGTATTTTTTTATTTAATTAATGTTATTTTTTTGAGCTTATTTTAAGTGCTCATATAAGTGGTCTGGGAACCAAGTAGTCTGGATAATCTGAGTACTTTTGCTATATTTTTAAAACCTTTGTGTTTTTGAAAAAAACTTTCTGATGCCCAAATATCTATGTGAATTGTGAATAGGGATAACTAAAAGTTGCTTATTTGCAAAAATTTTGGATTATTTTTGAAAATATTCCAATTTTCGCATAAGGTGCTCATATTACCTTAATCTACCGTAATACAAGTATTTTAAAAGTAAAGTTTTATTATTTGAAAAGTTTGCTTTAAAACAACTACAACAACAAAAGTTATCAAATTTAATTAAATGGTTCTTGAAATAATTTTAAAACCCAATAAGTCAATATCATTCCGGACAGTCTTTATACTAATTCAACATCTCTTGATAATAAAATGACCAATTAAATTTCTAAAACCTTTGATTATCATATTATTAATGTACCCGAAACATGGTTTTCAAATGACTCAGTACCAAATAATAATAGAAATAACCTATTTTGTAACGAAAACCATGACGGACGTCGAGGTGATGGTGTTTGATGATAGTGATGGTGTAGCTATCACCATCACTGACGTATTTAAGCATCATAAAGTAAATCAGTTCTACATAAACTGTTCTCGAACAAGTTTGGGTATATGTAAATATTAACAATAAAAAATGTTACATATAATAAATAATAATAGTAAATGTTAATAATAAAAAAATACTTAATGGACGTATATATAGAGATAAAATGGTGTTAATGTAACAAAATTTGTCGCAGCGAAGCCCTGCAATGATTGTTGTCAGTCATTTTAACATCCCAAATATAACGTTGTCTTATTATTTTTATTTTTTATTTTAAGGTGCCCCAAGTAGTCCTTACCGTCTTATCACAGAGCACCGCGGAAGAGCATTTAATAGGAAGTTCACGCCTCCTTCCCAACCGATATCGCAAAACTTGCCCAGAGGTGGGGTCTAATGTTGGTATTAAATTTTTCAACCCAAACATTTCTATTGAGGTTAATATCAGAGATATTAACCCAAGCAGTCTCCATATCACCATATCATATTTCATAATTTTCAGACATTCTATGGTTTCTTAAATTATATAATGGAGTTATTTACTTACAACAGTAATTTTATTTTAAACTTGTTTCCTAATGCTATACTAGGTAATAAAACTAAGGGTCACTTTTGTATCATTTGAAAAATCTTATTTTCAGAACCGTTCCTTGAAAGTGAGTCTCAATTGTTTTATTACAAAAAGGTAATTATGATTCTAAACCAAACTTTTGCATTAATCTACTGAGATAATCTACTCTCGCGTGCCAAATACAAAGGAATGTGTGTGTTTGTGGGGGGGTATACATAAAATATTTTATTTTTAGTATGGCTTGCCGTCAAATCAACTATGCTTTTTTTAACTACTGTTATATAATTTGATTAGGATTTTTGAAATTTAAAAGAAGTTATATTCAGACCAAAAGCAAGCTAAACAAATATATGAAATACTAAATACTAATACGGGCAAACAATATAATATAAATACTACAATTACAGTTATTTAAATGCACGATATATTTCATTATCGTGAACTATAGTTAACATATCAATCATGTATCAATATATCAATCAATCTATTATAAAAATTCCCTTGCCAAATTAAATAGTTTTAAGTTATGAACTTTTTTTTTTGCTATTTATTTTTAGATATAAATTTTTAGATATTTTAGAAACAAAACAAAATTAGTCATACAAAAGAAACAATGCATGAAGTAGTTGCACATAGACATTGATTTTTTATGTGTGCAGTTAAAAGTTTTATGTGTGTAATTACAAGTTTTTAG